CCATCGCTCTTACTTTCTGATTATATCGTGTATGGTTACCCATACTTTCAAAATGTGTACGTTTCATAATATTTTATATACATAAAAAATAATTTTAGAAATCTTATATATTATTATATTTTTCAATTTTTGATTAGTAAATAGAGTTTTCACTTAATAACAATATCACCTAACCCAATGAAAGTAATGCAGGAATTTCAAAGATTTTAAATTTAGTTAATTATTATATTTAAATTGTTTTAAAAGTTGAAAATAATTCTAATAAAAATTCATTATTCATCGAAAAATATTTTTCTTAAGACAATAGTGTCCTTAATACATCTTATTTATAAAAGCAATTATAAGCTATTCTGATTAAATAATGTCATAGTTTTATTGTCTATTTAATAATTTTACTAATTATACTAATTGCTAATTTTTTTCTTGATTTGCTCTGCTGAAATTGAGGTGCGTCTTATACATCCGTGCGTTTTATATGCCGTCAAATACGGTATTTGATTTTTGCAAGAATTTCAAAATCAGTGTGTTTTTTTAACGGAAAAACGGCGCGAAAACTTCAACAAAATTGAAAAGCGAACAAATAACAAAATTTTAACCAAATTTTCGAACTTGCTAGAAAAGATAAAAAAAAAATTCATAAAATAATACTTTGGTCTTTCCCCTTAATTATAACATAAACATTTTGACGATAAATCTTTTTTTAATAATTTTTGGGCCTTTTTTTCATCATGCTATGTTGTTTTTCATCGGATTAGTGGAGGTGCCTAATATTATTTATAATCACCTTCATCTTCCGACCTCCAATTCATCGAAGTTGGCATTGTGCTTGAATCAGGTAAATTAATGTGTGGAACTCTTGTAAATGCTTTTATATCGATAATGTCTTCTTTAGGCCTGTGCGCATGTCGTGCTGTTCTGTCTTCAGAGATGTACGTGATCGACCATTTATCAACCAGACTTCATTGTATTGGAAAGTTGCAAAGTTTCGGGTGCAAGACAAATTATGGTTGGCAAGTTATGAACGGAATTTCAAAAGACAGAACGAATTTACTGAATGGGACGATGGTAATCCAAGATTACCGGTCAGACAAATGTCAATGAATTCGGAGTTTAGGGTCAGTAATATTCCTCATTGTCTCCAGTATATAGAAAAATAGAGGTTTATGATGAAAAGAACGTTTTGGACTACACGCATTCCTCATAGGTTATTAATAATGTTTCAGTGTCAAAAATTTAATCTTGTCTCAATAGTAAGTCTGATCAGTTCGACAAGGTCAAATTGGCAGCTGATGTCAAAAATGATCTACACTCTGTTGTTAACTGGGGCAAGGAATGGCTTGTTAATTCTAACGTTTCCAAAACGTAACATCTCTATTAATCATTAGCAGTATAACCCGTCTTTGCCCGGGTCTTTCAATACTGGAAATTTTTGCCGTTCAGTCGGAGCAGTTTAAGTTTAAATTCAGCCCACCTGAAAATCAATATTAGTAACAACATTTGGGTGCAACTGAGGCACATCCCCAAATAGGGGTTAACAATTTGAATGGGTGAGTGGCTCTGAAAATAGAACTGTATAATAATGAATGATATTATTGTAATAATTTAAACTATTTACACACGCACACACATACATACACACACATTTTGAGAATTATATATATATATATATATATATATATATATATATATATATATGTGTGTGTGTGTGTGTGTAATTAATTATATAAAATTAACTGTATAATAACAAATAATGTTATTGTAATAATTTAAACTATTTATTTTTATTAAAGTTTTTATGAAAGATATATATCCAAGAACAGACAGTAAATAGTAAAACATTGCTGAAAGTTATAATGGGCAGGAAGTAGTGGAGAGCCATTGTCGCCAACAATTTGAACTCAAAACTGGCACTGAAGAATTATCTATCCAACAAAATATTTTATCGAAATCTGATGAAAACTGTGCAAATGCATAATCCGATCATAAACACAGACATACACACACACAAACACATACACACACATACGTACACAAACATACACACGCACACACATACACACACATTTTGAGAATTATATATATATATATATATATATATATATATATAAGAGAGAGCCCTTTCCGTCTGCCATCGACATGGCTGATGCTAACCTCCAGGAGAGCGACTCGTTAAGTCTTGAGATGAAATAGAAAGATTATATTGAATCAATTCCTAGATCAGTTGCTCAGAAAGTTGATTCACTGTGTCGTGCTAGACAATCTTTTTCTATACAGAATCTATCTTCTAGATTTATAAGTCTACCATGCGTCCATATTTTGAATATTGCTGCCACATATGGTACTATGCTCCTGCTATTTAGAGATCCTTGAAAACAAAAGTACAAAGAAGAATCCGCAATATTATTGGTCATAACTTGACATCTCGGTTTAAATCACATTCCCGCACCTGTAACATAGCTTCCCTGTGCCTTTCCTATAAATACTTTTACGGTAATTGTTCCGATGAACTTTACTCTATGGTATCTAGATTTTAAGAATTTAAGCGCCGTACTAGATTGGCACTAAGGTCTCATTATTTTACAGTTGAACTAGCTCGATGTAACCGCAAGTTCTATGGCAACGGTTTCTTTTCACGCATTTCTCTCCCGTGGAACACTCTTCTGGCTTTTTGCTTTCCGGACAACGTTGGTCTTCAAAAATTTAAATGCAATGTCAATCGTTATCTACGGTTTTATTAATTCATCTTCTTTTATTGTTCACGCTCCTTAATACTGTTTCTCTTATTCTTTGACACTAGAGATTTATTGCTCGAAAATACAGCATTTGTGGCACAAGGCCAAAAAAAAGGAGATGGGTTGAGGCAGGTCGCCATTATCTATCTTACGCCTAGATAAACCGATTCACGACCCATTTAATCGTTACAAGTTACACATCCACCATAAAAACTCCCCCGTTATCATTCAATCCATCACACATCACAATACCGCATACACAAGGGGGGGACCTTATTCTTTCACATTCATTAGCCCTTTGTTGTTCTACGGAGACTTTATCTGTAAAATATAATTTAAAAGAATGGCGTGTGAATGCTTTTTTTGTATATTTTAAGTACTCAGAAATCTTTAAAAATCTTGGAAAATATTCTCCGTAATCTAATTTTAGGAATATTTTTAAATTCACGATAGCCATCGCTCTTACTTTCTGATTATATCGTGTATGGTTACCCATACTTTC